ATATGAGAATTCTCCCAAATATTCCCCAATTAAAAAAAAAAAAATCATTAAGTTTCACTGTAAGAAAATTATGACATTTATGACTATGGTATTTTTCTGGAAGACTTTTTTTCCTAAATACATTTAATTTTCTAGAAGCACTTCTAAAAATTGATTTTCTTATGCACCTACATTAGAAATCTCATAATTAATTAAAATAAGTTCATTTCAATTCCTCCAACATTTTTTTAACCAAGTTTTGAAAAATGCCTGTAAACACTTAAATTTAAATGGAGCATTTTCAATCTAAGCAGAAGTTAAGACTTTTACATAGTCTTTATTCCCCTTTATCAGAAAAATCCTAAACATCACCTGAAAATGGCTTCAAAACTGAAATGCTAAAACTGTGTAACACCAAGAGGTTAAATAGTTTTGTGGTCCACTTAATAGTTGGTTTTTGAGTTACAAAAAAGGTCTCAAAACTATGCTTGGTCAATGTAAAGCTTTATTTCGTAACCACATAGGGAAAGGTGCTTAGCTTCCGTTCAAAATTAAGAGTTTTTAAAATGCATTAATGTGTTAAATGTATGTGTATTTTATGCAAGACTATATTCGTGTGTATGTTGGCACAGGCACAAGTGCATATACCTACACACAGAATGACTTCCTAACCTACCCAAGATCTGTAGTTCTCTGCTTTGAAAGAAACTGAAACTAGAAGACCAGGCTACTACTCTCTTCCTTTTTCTTTAAAGATGACTTTGTGGCCTTTTTTCCCGTTGAACACAGGTTCTTTGATCTTTGCCATGACTGTTGTGTTAATCATCTGTGATGGGCACAGTGGCACGGCATTTCTGCAGCTCCATGTTATGTTATTTACTGTGGCAGTAAGTGGGGGGTTTTGTTCCCCTGAATGAGGAACCAGAAGTGATCTTCACAGCTGTCCTGTGATACAAGTCACAATTGGACTACTGAGTAAAGTAAAATTTATGAAAATTAATAATGCAAACTGTATCACTAGCTGTAACTTTGGTAATACAGGTCTTTTCAGTACTTCAAAAAATGTAAAAAAACCTGCAAAACTATAAATACAAAGATGCCAATTGATTTATCGCGCCTTATGTGTTCGTTACATTTGTCATGAGGTAAGGAAGAATATTTAGCAAAGTTTTGTTTGAATGCCTAGTTCTCATTACTTAAACTAGCATCTAGAATGAAAAAAAGCCAAATCTTAACGATCCAACAGTGCTCTCTGGTGGCACAAAAACAAAGGCATTGTATCCTCTGTAAAAAAATTACATAAGTCCAGTACACGAGTCCTTGAAGACTGATAAGTGACAGGAAGTCTCAACATGTTCCCCTGTGATAAGAAAAATAGAGCAATAAACAACTTTAAAACCACCAAAGCATGAAATGTGAAACCTGGCTTAGTAAAATGAAGCAAATGAAAATTTTAAAAATATTTTTTTTGTCCAGCAGGTGTTTTAGACTCTTAATGTTCACAAGAAACATATTCCTTCCGCATGCAATGCCAATTCAAAAAGTGAGAGAAATATTCTGCATAGTAGTATATTTTATCATGAAATAATTTTGGGTGTTAAGAAACACTTTTTGGTTTAAATTTTATTCTCTTTATTTGGGGAAGGGTAAAAAAAGAAAAAAATATTTAAAAAAGAAGAAAAGAAGCTCATATAGCTAAAGGAAATAGAGTGGAGAGGTGAAAGAACAGTTATAAACCAGTCATCAAGCTGCCAACAGTTTCCTTTTCTGCTTTAACACAAAGATTCTCTCCTGGATTTTCATTATATTTTTTACAATCATAGGTAATTTTCCCTTGCTGATTTGTATGGATTTTTTTCTGTTAGATTTTTTTTTTTGGTTTTTTTTGACCTTTGAAGACCAAGAGACTTAACATATTATGTAGCAATATAGTAAGAAGTAACGGGAGACAGAAAAGGCATTTATGTGGAATGCAGCCAAAACTCCTGATCACAAAGATATTTGCAATATAGAAAAATCTCTGATAAGTAGCTTTGCTGAGGTGAAAGTAAAAACAAATGCTTCCAGTGCTTTCTGAGATCAGTTATTCTGAAAGCAAGAATAAATAGAAATACAGTATTTGCTATCTCAGAAGAATACAAGGTACACTTTTGTTTCAGTGAACTAAAGATTGTGCTCTAGAACCCAAAAATTAGAACCTTATGAAAAATTCTGGAAAATGGAAGAATTATACAAATTAAGTTTTCTTGAAATACATATATGAACTGAAATCCTGGAGAAGAGTAAAATTACACCATTATATAGCCTTTCTTGAGCTGGCCTTAAGAAAAAAAAAAAAAAAATCTTTTAATTTTTTTAAATTTTACTTAGAAAATTATTACTTGAAAAATTATTACTTAGAAAATTTTACTTGAAAATTATTCTGACTAAATGCATAGTTCTTTCTTTTTTTTTTCTGTAAGATTTCCATAAAAGGCACAGGATCAATTCTACATTTATCTTCCTACTTCAATGAGAGGTGGCAACAAGGTAGGGACTGACTTGACTAAACAGATTTCTGCTGCCATATGGGCTTGTCCTAAGATAGCCTATCTGTTTCATACTTTCCTGCAATCCAGAAATATGCAAACCCCATTTTTGTCAGCGCTGATCTGATGCTTTGGAGTATCCTGAGGCACATCAGTTTCTCTACTGCTTGTGTTTAGCCAACTGATTCAAGTCTTACTATTATACAGTGAGTTACTTAAAGAACTTACTGCAGGATGTAGGGAAAAAAACAAACCTAGGGAAGTTTGGGGGGGGTGGTTTTGAAAGTTTTATTCATCTTACATTTTGTGGCACAATATAATATATTGCCTCCCTGAAAAGACAGAGGAAGACCTTTCCAAAATGTTTTGTGAGGATGATGAAATAGTATTGTTGTGTTTACTTAAATGGAGTATTCCATGATCAGATTCAAATAAAACTGAATGACTAAATTAGGGGCAGGTGGTTTCAGTAAAAAGAACAAAACCCAACAAGTACCTTTTTGTCAGAACTAGTTACTTATCTGCAGAAAGGCATTCATCATAGTGTGAAGGTTGAATGGGGCTGGTGATAGTCACAGTCAAGGACTACAGTCTGTGAAAAGCAAAGGATTTAATAAAAGAAAGTGTTTGAATACTTAGGACTGTCTTACTCATGTTTGCCTCTATTAGAGTTGTGTTTTCAGTGTTTTTAGATAACATCCCTCCTAAAACTCAGTTATATCAGTGAGGAAATAATGTGAAGGGGGAAATTCTGCTTCAGAAAAACATAAGGGAATATTTAATTTTTATGAACCTTTTTGTTTGTTTCATTATGACAATATTTATTTTTGGGTGAAGATGGTGGTATAACTGGTGATATGCAGAAAAAGAACCGAAAAAAGAGCAGAAATGGGAGTGACAGCTTAGGAAAGAAGCTTCTGAAACTCGTATTTTTCAGAACTAGCATATTAATAATAAAGAGGATAAAATGCCACTGTAAAAATAAAGGTGGTATGGAGACTTGGAATTGCAAAAGATCCATGTAAAGTAAATACTTATGATACACGATTTATTAAATATTATACCGGTCTTGAAAATAGTGTATCATTCCTCCCTCATCCCCTGATGAAATAGAATTCTTAATTTACAATGAATCAGCCTAAGGCCAAGTAGTGAATGTTTCATTTACATTAAAAAGGTTTAAGAAAAAGATCAACACAAGAGATTAAGAAAATACAGGAGAGGGGAGGTGAAAACAACAAAGTGAAACATTATTTGTGATAAGATATATTTGTCATTGAAACATTTTTGCAGAGAAAAAACTGGGAAACATGAATATAAATAAATAAAAACAATAGAGTGTTAATGTTGAAGAAATGAAATGTGTGAATTGAAAAGATTTGTTCCAAGCTAGGGAAATTACTAGATAGATTGCCAGTATCCTGTTTATAACTTCACACTTTTCCCAGTTTGTTTCCTGTTTTATAATCAATAACTCAATTTCTGATATGAAAAAAAAATATTTTCAGCTGGAGGGCACCCTAAATTTTAAAACAAGCTAAAGTGCCAATTTTTGGGCCATCATATTTCTTTAAATAAACTAGTTCATGCAAGTTACCTTTTCAGGAAACCAGTGTCTTATTATAAATTTATGTGACTCAGTTTCTGTATATGTGACCTGATATAACAATGTGGATCCCCAGATGAACTTTTATCATCTGTGAGACGATGACACAACAGAAGATGCAGATGTTAATATTTTCTAATGTAACAACAGGTTGCAAAATATTTGATTTATGAAGGCTGTTGATAAATTGAGCTTTTTCCCTCTAGAAAACCAGAAGTGGTTTCAACACATCAAATAAAAGGTTTCCTAATGTATTGCTGTATGATTGAATAGTATAATACGAGAAAAAGAACACCACAGCCTCCAAATACTATACAGGTATTGTTAATTTGCTAGTGCTAAGGACCAAAAATGTTAACTTCTAGATTAGTGTGGCCATACGGATCAGAAAAATAACAATCATATTAGCTCATTATATGTCAGGAATTTATTGTTTTGGGTGCATTTTAAGCTAAGATAAATTTCTTTAATATGTTTGTAAACATTCTCCAACAGATTTGACAAAGTATCTATGCTTGTATAAAAAGGGAATAAAAAGATTAAGTACCGGCAACACCTGAAAACAGTTGATTGTGGATGTAATTCATTGTAGAATCACATAACCATAAAAATATCTAGTCTGGAGTAGACTTCCAGGGCCCATTTGGTCCAGATTTCTGTTGAAAGCAGGGCCTTAAGTTAGTTTTTCCAGTACCTTGTCAAGCTGAATTTTGAACACTTCTGGAGAGATAGGTTACATCATTTCTCCAAGCAATGTATGACAATGATTATTGGTTGTCACAATGAAGTATTTCTTATCTTCACACAGAATTTCCCTTAATGCAACTCGTACCTGTGAATCCTTGTGAAGATATTTATCCATCTTCTCTGTGAATCCTTGTGAAGATATTTATCCATCTTCTCTGTAAGTGCTTTTAATTTAATGAGTGTGATTGGAATATGGTTCTCCTCCATCTACATCCGACCAGACTTCTGTTCTTGAGGTGGAACAGATTCAGTTCCCTCAACGTTTTCTTCATATCTTCCCAAGATATCTCATCATCTTGGCAGTCATGTATGGATATATCAATGTCTCTCTTCAGCTAGAAGGATCAGTTTACTTTCCCATGTGTGGCATACCACATGTTGAGTAGTGTGGAACAATCCTACAGTCTGCTGGTATATTTTTCAGATTCACACCTGGAAGCTATTGCCCTTCCTTGCTGCCAAGACACACTTTTGAGTCATATTGAGCCCCTGGAATCCCAGGACCTTTTAACTGCATTTGATCCTCAGCTATCAGACCCTAGCTTTTAGATATAGAGATTATAATTATTCTGTCCCAAGAGCAGGATTTAATATTTACTTTTTGTTAATTTTTATGGAGTTCTTGCTGGTCTGTTTTCTAGCCTGCAGATATCAGATGGATTGAGACTCCTCTGTCCAGACTCATGTACTTCTCTTCCCAATTTGATGCCATCTACAAACTTGGTGTGTATTCAATTCCCATCAGTTTTGCTATTCTTCTGCCCAGTCCATATCTTAGCAGCTCATTAGCAAGGAAACTGTGTGAGAGATCAGAACAAATGCCTTACTGAAATCAAGTCAGATCATATCCCCAGCTCTCCCCTTACCCACACAGCTCGTTGTTTTACCATAGCAGGCAATTATGTAGAGATCAAAAAATATTTATTTTAATCAGGTATTAGTATCATGAATTTTAATCACTCAATGATGATCTGAATTATCTGACTTAATTACCTTATTATGCTATGTTTAAGTATTTCTATGACCTTTTCATACCCAATTTTCATATCTAAAATTAATTAAATACTTCTATCATGAGGTAACCTTTTACAATGTGAGATCATGCACTTTATACAATTTGTCTAGTTAATTTAAAACTGAGATTTTAAATTTAGTTCACAGAATACTTGTCAATAAAGCTCTTTTTTTGTTTTTGTTTTTTTTTTTTATATAACATGTCCTAAATGTTGAATATAAAGTTAAGATCTATTGTTCATTGAAAATCATCTATTTATGTCAGATATACCTGTTCTTGTGTTTCCATGTTATTGAAGGCTTAAATAAGTACTTAAAATATTCTGTCTAAATGATAAATTTTTTCAAAACTTGCATATTTGTGCACTTCCTCTGAGCTAGTTTTGCATGTTTAGTTTTATAAATTGAGTTTAATTTGCAGTTACCAATCATTTTCACTCCATTATTTTCCTTTTGATTCTATTGAATATTTTCTTGTGGAAAGATTTTGATTACAGTGAAAATAGTGACATAACTTGTGAACTAGTTGTGTAACTAGTGATAACATAGCTTATACTGAAATTATAGTGAAAATGATAGAATTACTAATAGCATGAACTAAGTAGGATCACTAAAATTCCTCAGGGTTCCCCTTTTAGTCCTTAAGCTAACATGTTACTTAAGCATGTGTTTAACTTTTACTCAATGCTTAAGTAAAAATACACAAAATGGTAAAGAGATTAAGGATCTTTTTTCTTTCAAAATCCTCTTCTGAATTTGTAGTCATTTTGTTATGATTGGTAAAAGTCTAAGTGGATGGAAATGTATATTTTCTCAGAGCCACATATTTACTTTTCCAGAGCAGGGTTAAGGAACTTGTCACTAAATTTTCTCTCTATCTCTTCAGAAAGGTGTGTTAAGAAATGTGTTAAGTACATGACAGTGTTGCTTGATCGCAACTGAACATGATCTAGAAATTTGCAAGGAATTTTTTTATCTATTTCTACAGGAATTAAACATTAAATTGTAATTTAGAAATATTTATTACAGAATAATTTGCCTAAGACTTCCCTAGAGTCTGAATCTAGTAGAGTTAGGTCTTTTAGGCCTATGCAGTAAACACAATTTTTTACTGCAGTCTCTGGAAAATAATAGTTTCTTCTATGTTGAATTCTGAAAACAAATTTATTATCTTGATTAATATTATGAAGCTGGGATGTTTTAGTCTGAATGTTTAAAGAATCCTTTATCAAACTGTCTAGTACTATCATGAGACCATGAAGATTAAGAAAAGGGGAATGTGATATTTCATTTCACTGTGCCATATTGCTTCTGATCATCCCCAAACAGTTCAATAAAGGCTGGAAAGCTGACCTAATAATTTTGTCATTTTTGTCACTTAGGATGACACACACAGACCTGTGAAGTACTGTGTTCAGTGTACAGAAACCTCAAAAAGTAAAGAGCTCAAGAATGAGCTCTTGTATTATTGCTTGTAGATACAAAACGTCTGTTTTATATGAACGATCGTATTTATTATATATCATCCTTATTTCCTCTTCCTTCCATGACGAACTCCCGATTCCTTCCTTTTAAACCTTTTAGTTATGTGTTTGAAGACAATTGTATCAGTCTTCTGTAAATTCAACAAAACCACATCTTCCAGTGACTCCTGATAAGTATTTTCTAGGATTACCCTTACCCATTTTCATTGCTTGTCTCTTGATATTCTCCACCAAAATTCTTTCCCAAAGTGCTGTGCTTAAAGCAGGCAAAGTGTTTCAGCTGAGGGAGTACTGCTACCAGTAGATTAATAACTACTCCTTGAGTCTTGGTATACACATATCTATTGTCACAAACACAAAGAAAAACTGCTTTGAGCATAGTTAAGTGCTCTTTAAATTGTTAAGCACCTTAACCTGCAGCTTTGCAAACCTTCTATTTATCCATTCATTCCAATCTCATATTTCTTCAAGGAACTCTGTTTATGTGTGTGTGAGACTTCATCCTTGTAGAATAACTCCATTTTCTTTAGAACCTTTTTAAAATATTAAATTTAATTTGAAATGCTAAATTTGTGTTATGATGTGCTTTTAGTCCTACTCTCCTTAAGATAAGCTTGAAATTTAAAGTCAAAATGTGTGTCAGTAATTGGAAAGTAAACTAGCACTGATTTTAAAGCAGCTTTCTGTTGAATTGAAATTATAATACGGTATCTAAAAAAAGATCTAACATAGTATCTCTTATCTGTCTGTGGACAGCAAGAAACATCAATCAGTAAAAATCAGGGAAAGTATATGATTACTTTTTTCCAAAAAATCTCTTCTAACATTCATTCAGCTGTGGTTTAGAGATTTCCTGTAACATTCTTTTGGTCTAACATGTCATGTCTAATGAAAATAAAAACAAATTATTATACATTACATTTTAATTATTGGAAGAATTCTTTCATTTTCTCTTTTGAGATCCACAAATATGTAGATATAAAAAAAAAAAAAATCAGTGTTTCTGAAGCACCCCAGAAATTTCTGAGGGCTGCTTGCCAACATTTATTCTTAGAAATAGTTTGAATGGATTCCAGATTTCTCATTTTCTTAAGGAATATTACAGACTCTCTGTGAACATCAAAGACATCTGTGAAAAACTGATAATAAATATATCTTTTATGTACTGTAATTACTGAAAAGCAGCATTATATTTTCAGGCTTTCTCCTGATGAAAGTCACATATTTTTGCTTTTCTCTTCTGAGACTTGAATTGAAAAAAAAAACCCTGTAAATAATTGAAATAAATCATTATTTTAAGGTGGTTTAAATTCTCTTATTAGCTTACACAAATTGGTCATAGTTCATATTGGACTGGCTTTGAGGATATTTGCCATTTCTTTATGATGCCTTTTAGAGCCGTGTAAGGCAGCATTCACCATCAGATAATTATTCAAAATTAGAATTTAAACTGATTGTTAATGGGAAGACTCTGCTGGCCATTCTGGAAAAATTGTTGCCTGGCTGAAGTATTACCTGAAATGAAGAACAATTTCTCACCACTTGGGAAAAGGACGTATCATACCTTAAAGACAAGAGCAGAATGAAGGTTGTATTATCACCACCTTCTTTCCTGAGTAACAGATAAATGTAAGAACAAAACACTTTAAGTGAAGTTCTTGATTCAGTATAAGAAAGGGTACATAAATCACTGCATACTTATTTTCTTTATTTTCTTTCTTTCTAAATTTTAATTTTATTTTATTTTATTTTTTTTTTGATGTGAGAAGCCATAAAGAAGTTATGGCTCTGGTTATAAGGGAAAAATATTGAAATAAATATGTTTACTGAAGTACTGACAGTGAAAATGTCTGCCAGACTGGAAATGTTAGACTGGGAACTAGGCCTAGGAACCAGAAGCATCCCTTATGAGCACAGCTGGTACCTTTCAAGTACTGTTGGGTACCTAAAAACATTATGAATATATCCTGAGATACCAGCAATAAGCTAAACCCCAGAGAATTGTAGCAGTGACTTATAGTCTGGAAAGGCAAAAAATAGTGAAAGCAGGAAAACATAATGAGAAAACAAGAATTAGTAACTGCAACTGGCTGTTCTAACAGGAAGAACAGGAAAACAGTCCAGAAAAATAAAAAGTTTATCCCATAGAACAGAAAATACCATCATCTATTGGGTTCTTATTGGCTCTTAATTAATCTTTTATTTCACAGCTTTAGTTCAAAGACCGGGTAGAAATACAATTAATGTAGCGGTTTAGATTTGCTAATTCAGTTTTCCCGGCCAATGCACCAAATAAATGTCGTGGTTTTAAAGGAGTAACTAAAAAAAAATTACTAGAAAACTTACTTATTTCTTGCGGTGAGATATGGATTAGAACAAGAGCAAAACAGGCTTAAAACTTAAAAGGAATAAAGAAAGTTTATTAACAAAACTACAAGAATAAGAACACCAGAATAAACCTCCAGAAAACCCCTTTATACCCCACTACCCAACAATTTCCTTGTTCACATGACAACATAGAGACAAAAAACTTTGGAGCTTTGGTGTTTAAAACAGTCCCAATTCCTGCTAGACTCTTTTCATCAGCCTTTGTAGAGAAACAGAAGTCTTCTTCGGCTAATCTATGGAGTTTCTCACAAGAAAACTATTTCTGTTATAGTTTTCTATTTCTCTGATGCCAGCTGCACGGAAATCTGTCATCAGTTCACTCCTCTCATTTCACATCACTCTGAGGTGTGTACGGGTCAGTCAGTCTAGGGATGTCATTTTTAAGGATGAGTTATTCAAAGGCAAACGTTCTCTTCATCTGTCTCTGTGAGCTTCGCTGGAAACAGAAATTTTCTCATTGCCTCTACAACGGCCCCAAATCTTCAACTATTATTTCTCCCCACTCTGTTCCAGCACTTCACTGTATCACAATTACTCCACCTTTTGCTCAAAATCCACACTTTGAACACTCCATTCCTCCCAATATACTCTGTCATGAATTAAAGGAGTTTTTTCAGAACACTATTGTCTATCTCCATAGCTTTAACAGAAAAATTATTCAGCTTATAAAGCATCTCCTTATTCTCTCTTCCCCATCTAAAACTTAACTCTTTTCTTCACGGTCTTTGACGGTTTTATGATTTTTTTTTCATGTTGATTCTCTTTCTCTCTCTCTCTCTCTCTCTCTCTCTCTCTCCCTCGGAAAAAGGAGTAATCTGTATGTCTCATCCAGGTAGTAAAAGAGTTAAAGTCTTGGAAAAGCTGCAGATGTTCATGGTGTCAGGTTTCAGTTCAGCAGCAGAAACTACAAACCAGGCCAGGCCGGCCGGCTCCGTTTCTCCCCTCCCCGCCCTCTGCGGCCTTGTCCGGCCTGGAGGGGGGGGGAGGAGGCCGAGACAGAGCCTGTTACCTCTTCAGAAGCCAGAAACCAAAGAGATCAGCCCTGGCTTTACAGCTTAAGGTGGTGTTCACAATTTGATCTCACTTCTGAACGGTTAAAACCGCTGCCAGTTCTCAGAAATGACCAATAATTGATCAGGACAAAAAAGACTCCCGTCAGCCACCAGCAGCTTCAACTGCCTTAGCACCCAAAGCTATCTTAAAGGTAAAGTCACCCTATGACACACATGAAAATGTATAAATTGCTATCATTGATTTGCTGCTTGAAGTGCTAGTGTCCTACAGCCCCTTATGCCTCTACAATAAAATAATGGCTTATTTTTCATCAAAAGTGGATCTTCACTTTCTGAAAACTCCCTGTGCTGCACATACATTTCCCTTTCCTCAAAAGTCTGTGTGATCTTGAGCCCTCACTGAGGACACCCAGCAGGCTCCAAACTGATGTGGATTGGTTCCCTTCTGGGATTTCCCCTGGGCTTGGGTCAGTTAGTTCTCCCACTTCTGGGGCAGCTGAGTCCCCTCTGGGTTTGGTTACCTTCTGAAATATGTTTAGTGAACTTTGCTATCACATATATTCATATAATTAAACTATTGTATTTGCTGTTACATTATTGGTAATTCACTTTTCTACTGATAAGTTTGTAGTAACCTGTAATTTTATAAATTGTTGCTGCAGTTTTCTATTCCTGCTATTATTGCTGTGATACTGTTGATTGTTGCTGTTATTGATTACTGCCACACTATTTATTGCTGATAATAAAATAGCTGAATGTATGTATATAGCTATATTTGCTTTATTAATAATATATATATATACTTGCCAGTGGTGAATTTTTTTATATTTCTGATCATGTCTAATCAAGTAGGGAAATTCAGAAAAAAAAAATTTCTGTGTACTTTTGTTTTCTGGATTCCTATGAACCCACATATATGATTTTTATCACTGGCAGGCTAGGTAACCCTTTAGGTTGTGAGATCTGTAAAAAAACTTCATTTCTGAATCTAGAGAAAGAGAGGAACAAAAAACAAAGATTATTACTGATTTTTGCCAGGCTTGAATTCTGTCAAGAACAAAGTATAGACCTTTAAAGATATAAGTGGATTCTCATGGACATTTCTTTGGGTAGAGATTTAATTTTCTCCTGTGATTTGTTTACACCTTGTTCTGGGTTTGGTTGAGATAAAATTAATTTTCTTCACAGTGGCTGGTATGGGGCTGTATTTTGATTTTGTGCTGAACACAGGGTTGGTAGTATATAGTGATGTTTTTGTGATTGTTGAGCAGGGCTTATACAGAGCAAAGACCTTCTCTGCTTTCCACACTGCCACACCCAGGTAATGGAGTGCTGGAGTTTTTCTTCCCAATCACCATTACTGAGATGGGGCCCTCTCCTCCTGGAGATGGCTGAACACCTACCTGCCCATGAGAAACAGTGAACTAATTCTTTGGCTTTGCTTTGCTTGTGTACATGACTTTTGCTTTCCCTTTATCTAGATCCATGAATTTTCCATGCTTTATCTTTCTGTTTCTCTGATCCTGCTGGGAGAAAGTGAATGAGTGGCCGTGTGGGGCTTGGTTGCTGGCTGAAGTTAAACCACAACAGTCCTTTTTGTCACCCAATTTTTGCCTCACAGTATTTGAGACAAAGACAGATCTGACTGGGATGTACCCAATTGAATTTGGATGTACTAGATTCGAATATCTGCTAGTGCAGTTCAGCTAGTAATCAGCAGGGGTCTTGGCTTGCCATGGGGCACACTTTCCTGGGTCTGTATTACAGTCACTTGTTATAGGCTGCTTTTATGCTTTTGCTGCTTGCTGTAGTGCTGTACTGCTTATCACCTTACTGATTTGTGCCTGAGAACGCTGTGATAACAGCCACTGGCTATGTGCCTGGGCTGGCAGGTGGCCAGGGTACTGCTGTTGTTTCTGTGCTGCTGTACTGGACAAGCTGGAACTTCAGAACTGGAGTTGAAGGCACTGTCACGTATTAAACAATCCCATACCAGAGCAGGTGAGTGCCTGAAGGAGGATGTGACCTTGTGAGATTCCTGTGACAGAGCAGGATTGCCGCAGGGAGCTTGCCGGGATGAGCACCTGGAGCCCCATCTTTCCCTGTGTTTAGAGTTGTTTCCTCCTTATTCCACCTCCTGCCTGGCCAGGGTTGGGTCCTCTTCCCAGTAAACAGCCACTTGCCGGGATGCTGATGCACCCTTTGGCTTTTCCTGGGAAACAACTGTCTCAGGGCTGTGAAGGGGCTGGTTCCCACCTCCCCTTTCCTACTGGGACTGTGGTTCCCTTAGAACAACTACCTGGGTTAAAGTTCTTGCTCCTTTTAAGTCCTTGCTGGCAGGACTTGTGACCTCACAGAGGTCCCACACAGGAGAGCCTTGTGAAGAACTGCAGCTCATGAGAAGGACCCATAATGGACAAGTGCAAGGAGGATTATCTCCTGCGGGTGGGACCCCATGCTGGAGCAGGAGAAGCCAAGATTCACTTGCAGCCCGCAGTGAAGACCATGTTGGTGCAGCTGGGCCCCTGCAGCCCATGGAGGACTATGATGTGGACTATACTGATGGTGAACTTACTCTGTAACAGGAGCCCCTTATTGCAACCAAGCTGGGGACAAAGGGAGGAGTTTATTGCAATGTTAAACCCTAAAACCAGGGCCAAAAGACAATCAGTGGAGATTGTGATGGATTTATATATAAATTTTTATAAGCCATTTGAGTTGATTATTACAGGACTTAATAGATCAGGAACCATCTGAACCAACACGGGAAGACTTACAAGAAGCAGTTTCAGTGAGCAGTGACCTGGCCTGAGCTGGCTTTGGTGTCCAGTAACTCCACATCACACACCGCCTCTCTTGTCCCTTGTGACCACCATAAGAGATGAAGCCCAAAGTTGTTGACTAAATGAACTCAAGCGGGAAACAATGTCTGAGTATTATATTACGGAGGAGGAAGAGAGGTGGTGGGCAGTGATGTACTGAATGCTGTGGGACCTGAGCAGGATGTAAGTGGTACAGAATAAGGGATGGAATGTGCTGCTTTTGGCTGGAGTAGAATTAAATTTCTTCCTAGTAATTAGTATGGAGATGTGTTTTGGATTTTTGCTGAAGACAGAATTGATGACAGAGATGTTTATGTTATTGCTGAGCAGGGCTTACACAGATGCCTTTTCTGCTTGTTGTACAGCCACACTCTCAAGGGAGTTGGAGGACATGGGAGGTTGGGAATAGACACAACCAGGACAGGTGGTCCAAGCTAACCAGAGTAACTATTCCAGACCATGACATCATACTCACTATATAAAGTGGGTGGAAGAACCCCACTGAACAAAAATGTAAAAGTTTGCATGGCATTGAAAACAACATGAGAGCAGTACAGGTGTCTTAGTGAGTTTAACTAACAATACTAAATAATCCGAATAAAAGCTAAATGTTAATAGAAATTAGTACTATCAAGCACTCACTGAACTAAAAAGAACCAAAATATATCTATTAGGAATGGAACATAGCAGTGAACTGAATTAATATCTAAAGCTGAAGCAAGCAAGAGGTGTACTATTTACAACTGAAGGTGTTTGACAGACAAGACTGTGAATGATCCTGGTACAAAACTTTTGGTTATGGCAGAAAAACTGCTCAATAAAATCAGGAACCAAATAAGATTCCTGTCCTCACATTGCCTCATTCTTTAGAGGTTGGGTGCATGAATTGTACTGAGAAGAGTGCAGAAGCTCTGAGAACACATTTGTGCTGAGATGGATGCTGTCAGTCAAGTGTATGCCACTGATAATGAAAAAGAGAAATTACTGTTTGGGAATGATTTGTTATTGAAGTTCTGTCCACTTCTCAGCTTAATCCATAAAACCATTTGACTCTAGTGAAGGAACAATATCCCATGTAGTAGGCTGATAAGAGAGAAAGTAGAAAATACTGTTATTTGCTGTCATGGGAAGATCAGCAGCCCCTGCTCTCTCTTTTTGGCACTGTAACTGCTAAGAGAGGCTCTATCTCTGCATTTCATGCTTGTCATTTAACATGGAACTATCATTTCCCAACTCACCACTTATATCCTATATCCCTACTTATAAGCTCAGCTCTCTGGAGCAAAGAAATTCATTAATAATGTGTTTTGTGCTTGTATGGCAAGGTTTTTGTAGTGAGGTGTGTGTGTGTGTGTGTGTGTGTGTGTGTGTGTGTGTGTGTATGTGTGTGTGTGTGTGTTAAGGGGGAACATGCAGAAATGGCTACTATAAGAAAACACCAGAAGCTGTCCCCATATCAGACACAACCAGCTCCAGCCAGCCCCAAGATGGACCTGCCTCTTGCAAAAGCTGAGCACATTTGAGATGTTTCTAGTGCCTCTGTGATAATTTATTTAAGAAAAATAAATAAACACTGCACAAGCACAATTGTGAGAGAAGACTGGTAACGTGTGAGAGAAACAGCCTTGCAGACACCAAGATCAGTGGGAAAGGAGGGAAAGGAGGTGATCCAGTTTTCAGAGCAGAGATTCCCCTGCAGTCTATAGGGAGTACCAGGGTTACACAGGTTGACTTCTGCAGCCCATGGAAGACCACACTGGAACAGATATTACCCTCCTCACACTGAAAGTTCAGGAGAAATCATGTTCTTATCAACAAAAAATGTTGATGGGTTGATCAGCCTGTCTGACCCCAGCTTCTGCTGGCAACCAGCCCAGATAGTCAGGTTGTCCCAGGGGACAGAGCTGCTGTCCAGGGTTCTGCAGGCAGCCTCTAGCCAGGGGTAACCCTTGGAGCAGAGGCAAAGGTCTTAAGTGATCAGCTCTTTTAGCAGTGATTTCTGCTCTGTGATCAGCTCTGTTCAGACCAGCCAGCTCCGTTCAGGGGTTACCCTGCCGACGCAGACAAGAGATGGGAAGATCACATAGAGTTCCTCAGAGTCTTTAATGCAGGCTTCAGAGAAGGGGGCCAGTGATGGTCTAACCCCAAACTGGGTAAAAGCTGGGGTTTCTATAGGGAAGGGGAGGATTGGGAAGGGGACCAATGGTCTGAGATGGGGATAATAGTTAACAGGGAGATAACATGGGGTCATGGGGTCCTGAGGCAGGAAGGGGTCCAAAACCTAGTCACAATGACTAGGTAGTTTTATCTTAGGGGATTGATCTATTGATCCCTATGGAGGATGCCTGTCAGAGGACTGGGCCTCCTCCACATTGATCTACAGCAATTAGACAATCAACAGGACCAAAATATTTTCAAGAATGAGCTGTTGACACTGCAACACATCACAGACACTACGGACAGTATTTCTGACAAGCTGAACAGTCATTTTTCTTTTGTAGCAGATCTATAAAATTTCAGGATGAGTAACCACTGTGCATGCTCTAATAAAATAAATATGTGTGTATATATATATATATATACATATATATGTGTGTGTTAATCACACTACATATGTGTAGTGTAAAGCCACTACACGTATTTCAGGAGTTTAGGATACACTCTGTTTATATAGTTTCATTTGATTCCATAGAGGCACAAGGCCCAGACTATAATTATTTTCTGTTTAAATATAATTTCTGCCTGTGCAGTAGGTCTGCAGCTGTTGGTACATCTCTGCTATGCCAGCTTTTTTTGTATTACAAAACAAATTAGTTCAATATAAAAAGTACAGAAGATAAGCACACAAATCCTACTGATTATGACTAAAAGGATTTGTCTTATTTCCTCCTAAAACCCACCTTAAATTTTTACTTCTAAGACTCTTTCTTTCTATCTGTGGTTACACTGATTGACATTAATACCTAAAATGCCCTTAAATATTATTGTTATGCAGACAACATACAGATTTGTTGCTACTTTAGGCTGATAATTCCTTGACAAATCCTGTTTCTGCACTTTGATAGTGTTTGATGGTGATTCAGCAGTGGATATATTCCAGCAAGCTGTCTCTTTACATCTTGTAGTCTAAGTTATTATAATATTTCCATTTGCTTCTAAAAACTGTATGGTGACTTCTGTCTTTGCCTAAAATTTACATAATTGCCATACAACATGAGTTCTTGTAAGAATTATGGTTTTGCACCTGAATCCATTTCTGTTCTTTGTAACACTGAAAAAGTATCAGCTACCTAGAACTACTGTGCCAAGAAGTTTCTAACAAAATGTCATGGACTTCAGAACTAAACTGTTAACACAACCAGTGTTATTAATACATTTTGTCTCTTTTACAAAGAATCCATGTAGTGAATATGAGTAGCAAAGATAACCCTTCCATTCTTAGGGATCATCTGTTTCAAAATGGTTAATGCTCTTACTCTGTGGAATTAAATATAGCCTTGCATCTGTCGTTCATCTTTTCTTTCCCTCAAATATTTTGCTGTTATTATGGACTTCATATAATGACAGATGATAATTTTTCCTTAATATTTTTATGAAAAGTGAAATAGAATGAGAAATATACAAAATTTTTAAAGTAGCAATAATTTGTTATTATAAGTAACTCTTGTTCTATGGGAGTCATTTAACTGACATTTGAAGGACATTCACAGAGTTTGAATACTATAATAGAAATTCCTTCCCCAAGGGTATAGTAGCTGGTAGAGAAATATTTATCTTTCAGTTTGAGAGAGAACCTTCCTGCATTTTGTAAAGTGGTCAGATAGTTTAGGCTTAATCCAGAAATACTTACAGACATGATGATTCAGCAAGACACAGCACTTTAGTCAAATACCCAGACTTGTTATAGGAACTGTTTTGAGTTAATTCAAATATGATATTTGCTTAACTGAGATTAGAAGAGATCTGACCAGAATGCAGTGGAAAATTTAAAATATTAGACATGATAAAAATATCCCATATCATCTAGGTAGGATTATAATGCTTTGATGTGATCAAAGCAAAAGTTGGTAGCAGAAGTAAAGACCATGGTGTTTTTGACATTTAATCAAGTTATATTAAAACAGAAGAAGTGGCAAAGTGCGTTTTGAGGGAATAACAAAAAAGACCCTCATTTTTTATTAGATAATATACTTTAATATATCTAAAGATGAATGGCAATATGTCTTTATTTTCTTAAAAGCTAAAGGAAAAAATAAATTCATCTCTCAAAAATAAATTAAATAATGAACACTGGTTTTAAATAGCACCACAAGCTCTAAAGGAAATGATCCCATTGAAAATGTACTGAAGGTGAAAGCTGGTGAAAATTTAGTGAAAATTATTTTGGATTTTTGTGGGTGTCTAGATTTCGATTTGTAATTTTTAAATATGTTTATTTTTAATAATTTTAACAAAAAATTTTAACATGTATAAGATATAAATGTAAGTATTTTAATAAATTTATTACATTAGTCAAATATATTGAATGAATAAAAATATAGGTATACTGTATATTAATGAGGAAACCTATATGCCTACAAAACCACAAAATAAATGAAAATATTGGCTCCTAGTCTTTATAGAGCTGTTTCAAAAATGTTCAAGAATGAAAAAGACAAACTTGGTCTGGGGAATATTTTTATTATAAATTAATCAAATATACCTTTGTACTGTTATTCGATCATTTGAAGGTTATAAAAAGTGAGGTACATTAGGTTTGTCTAGAAGAATTATGTTTGCATGTTTACTTTAGAATGGTTGTAAAATTGATGTCTCACCAACTATTCTAGCAAAAATTCAAGAACAGTGCTGAAACTGTAAATCTATTATTTCCTTAGTCATTCAAAGTGAAAGGTTTTATTCCATTCTCTTACAACAAATATATGTAAAATTGAAGTGCTAGAAAAAGTTAAAACCATCACTTAAACATTTTTCTCCTCTTAAAATGTATCTGTAAATTATTTGCTCTGTCATTATTTTGTGTTCCCAAAATATCTATATATCAAAAAACCCCCACTTCTTAGCATTCTTGGCTATATCTTTTCAGCCAGAAGTGCAAAGTGAGACCATGAATTTAAGTATTTTAACCTGCAACTCTTTTCCAGATCCATTTCCCTGTAGGATCAATAGGCTGATCTGATAGACATGCATACTCAATATATTCTACCAAGGGTTACATCCTGGATTGGATGCTACAGGAGATGCTTCTGTTTTAAACAAGGTCTGAAAGGAGAGGCTGAACTGTCAGATTAGAGCCAGTATTTACTGCAGATGTTATAGCTCAGACAGATTTGTCAAAGGAGAGATTTAAGAAGAGACTTCTAGAGATAGGAAGCTGCTTTTCCGAGGCCAGGTAGCCAAGTGCACATGTGGGTGTCCCATATAAAGAGACTTTATGCCTCCAAATATTTTACAAACCCACAGTACCCCTTCTATAATACTACATATTTATGTTTATTTGAAACTCTGGTATGCATACATATATACATACATATAAATGAATTAGAATTCATTAGTTAAATGATTAGTAAATCCTATTGGCAATTTCTATTTAGCTGATTTTTTCACTGACAACAAAATATTTTTTAATGTCTTTTATCAGTAACAATAAATTTTAAAGTGCTAAAAACCCTGATGGAAAAGCATCACGTTCTTCTTTACAACTGGTTTCTAACACATTTATCAAGATTTTTTAAATGTGCACATTTTAAAATATCTATAAAAGTTTATCATC